TTTTTTTTTGAATTCTCCTTTGCCATCTTTGGAGATTGGCTGGAAACCATTTTTATGTCTTAGAATTACAATTCCTCCTTTATGCGGATCCTGGACATCTCTGTGGTATCTCTTTCTCATCTTTCCCTCAGTCATCTGTACCATGTTTCACACCAGTGGTTATGACACACAAGCCATAGTTGAAAGCAATGGAAGCACAGAATATGGACTCTTCCAGATCAGTAATAAGCTTTGGTGCAAGAGCAGCCAGGTCCCTCAGTCAAGGAATATCTGCGACATCTCCTGTGACAGTGAGTAGCCTCTATAACCCTCTTTCTCTGTTTTTCTGAGGCCTGCCCTTGGGATAATCTCCTTTTTAGTGCCAAGCAGACCTCAGGCTTCGTTGCCTTGACTGGGCTCTACAAAAATTGTGGGACTTGAATTGGCAGTACTGGGTAAGAAGCTGTTTGGATTCTTCATGGTCATCAAATCCCCAGACAGTTCCCTGAGGTTCGGGGGTAGACAATCTGAGCAGTCTGAGAGTCTTGGAATCTTATTCTCTGCATTTTCAGGGTAAGTCAGTTGATGAAGCTGATGATTCCTCCAGAGATATCCCAGGGAAATGAAGGAAGTCCCTACCCAGGGTTAGACATTACCACATTGGTCCTTTCATATAAAAAGACAACAGGCACAAGCCTTGAGTTTAGAGAACCCACTGGATCCAGGGGTTAGGGGAACTCAGTGAATTTCTGGGTAATACTTCTCAGCTCTCTCATTCCTTTCCCTGTAACTCCTGCCAGAGTTCCTGGATGATGACATTACTGATGACATAATGTGTGCCAAGAAGATCCTGGATATTAAAGGAATTGACTACTGGTGAATCCTTATTCTATTATTTCCCCATCCTCCTCCTTACCCCGTTAGCCCAGCACTCCTTTCCTCTTACCCTATCTCTTGGTCATTTAATCTAGAATACAGTCTCTGAAACAAAACTTACCTAGAGACTCAGGTTTCTGTTATTAAGCCTCTCTCGCTCCACTCCTTGGTAGCAACTTTCCTAATAAAGGGTTGCCTAATGGAGGGCTCAGACCCAGGCCTCCTTTCACTTAGATTTGGACATCTAATTCCACTTGCTTAGTTCTATGCCCTCAAGCAAGCTGTTGGTCTCATTGCATCTCTTTTTTTAACCCTACAATTTTCTTGGATTATTTTTTTATGGACTGTATTCCACTTGATGGCTTGTGTCCCTTGACATCAGGTCAGGAATGTCTTTCTGTAATTCTCATCCACACTCTTTCACTTCAGCCTTCCTGGGAATGAATCTAGATGGAAATTCAAGCCAAGATTCAGTCAGCTAACTCACCTTGTCCCTTTCTCCATTATCAGGTTGGCCCATAAAGCCCTCTGCACTGAGAAGCTGGAACAGTGGCTTTGTGAGAAGTTGTGAGCATCTGCTGTCCTTGGCATCCCTGCCCACTCCACATTCCTGGAATGCCTCTTCCCTAATGCCACCTTAGTTTGCTTCTTTCTGTTCCCCCAAAGCTTATCTGTCTCTGAGCCTTGGGCGCTGTAGTGACATCGCTGAACTCTTGAGGACTATTTTCTGGAGATGCCTGAGTGGTGCACTGAGCTCTAGACCCTTGCTCAGTGCCCCCGATGGCGCTTTCACTACAGCACAGATTTCACCTCTGTCTTGAATAAAGATCCCAATTTGAAGTCACTGGCTGTATTTTTTTTTCCCCCTGGAGGGAAGGGGAAGAAATAGGATGAGTAGGTGGACACCAAAGCCGTAGGTCATAGCCACCTTCTGTCTCTACTGAAGAAGTAGACTGAATTTACAATAGAAAGGTGAAGGTTACTTTCTGCACCAACTCAACGTGACAAACTTTTATTGATCACCTAATCTATTCAAGGAACTATAGAGGGATCCAAAGTTGGCTGAATACTGGCCAGGTGTGGTGTTCCCTCCTGTAATTCCAGCACTTTGGGAGGCTGAGGTGGGCAGATCGTTTGAGGTCAGGAGTTTGAGACCAGCTTGGCCAACAGCGAAACCCTGTCCCTACCCAAAATACAAAAATTATCTAGGTGTGGTGGCAGGTGCCTGTAATTCCAGCTACTCAGGAGGCTGAGGCAGGAGAATTGTTTGAATCTGGGAGGCAGAGGTTGCAACGAGTTAAGATCATGTCATTGCACTCCAGCCTGAGTGCTCCATCTCAAAAAACTAAAACAACAACAAAAAACAAAAACACAAAGTTGGCTGAATGGCCTTTTCCCTCAAGGACTAATGCAAGAGATAAGATAAACATTAATAAATAGTTACAATATAAGGAAGAGAGTTATAAGCATCATGAGAGAGGTTAGAAATGTGCACTGGGCATTCACAAAAGGAAAGATAATTTATATTTGGAGGGGATGTTGGGAAAAAGGAATCAAGAAAGGGTTCCTGAAAGGGAGAGCATTTAGGCTGGTTTTAAAGTCTGTGTGGGATTTTGACAAGTGGAGATGTGGGGTGGGAAAAGGAAGAGCATGGGTGGGAACCCAAGAATCTGAAATGGGTGACTTGAGGGGGTTGAAGGATTTCTTTATCCTTCATGAGGAGCTGTGAAAGGAACTCCTCCTGTCTCTGGAAACCAGAGAGAGAACAGGGGCCTTGACAGTGATGCTGAAGAATCTGAGAACATGGGACCTTTTGGTGTGAACTCTCCACTCCATTATTTCTTCTTGTGCTTTACTTGTTTTTAAGGAGAATGTTTGCAGGACTTCATTCATTTAAATAATTATGGGATATGTTAAAGAAGAAGAATCAAGACATTTGGGTCCTAAAATCTGTTTCTGCTACTTTTTGATGGTCTGAACCTGGGCAGGTCATCTCCATTCTCTGTACCTCAGTTTCCTCATCTTAAAATGAGGATTTTGGTCTAGATAGTTTTCTGAGATCACTTCCTGCTTTAACAATCCAGCATTCCAAACTACAGTTTAATTTGTCACACTCTGAATGAACTGAGAATGACATTCGCATTGTTGCTCAGCTCCACAGCCCTGGCCTTCATCCCACAGAGACGACGGGAAAGTTCACCTGTGAGGGCAAGTACACCGCACATGAGTTCATGATCTTCAGGAGCCGTTGCTGATGGAACTGACAGTAAGAGATTTATCTGTAGAGAGAACCTCAGCCTGAGGTCAGAAGATCAAGAACAGATAGAAGCCAGGGAACTGGCATGAAAGACATCTTTTTCTTTTTTTCAATTATTCATTGGTTACAGTGGGTTATGATACAAATGTTTATAGATGCCTACTCTGTACTAGTACTGCAGAGCAGTTTTTCTGTGTTTCTACTCAGTTTAATTGTAGTGTGTTGAGTTGTAAAATAATTCATGTATTAAATCAAATAAACAAACAAAATGCCATGTTCTTTGGTTCAAGCAACACTACAAAAGGCATTTGGGGTCTGCATTTGGAATTCTCAGGCAAACTCTCTCTTGTTCCTAGTCTGTACTTATTTTCCCCACACTAGCTTATGTGTATATTTTTTGAGACGGAGTTTTGCTCTTGTTGCCCAGGCTGGAGTGCAGTAGCATGATCTTGGCTCACTGTGACCTTCACTTCTTGGGTTCAAGCGATTCTCCTGCTTCAGCTTCTGGTGTAGCTGGGCATAGGTGCCTGCCACCATGCCCAGCTAATTTTAGAATTTTTAGTTGAGATGGGATTTCACCATGTTGCTCAGGCTGGTCTTAAACTCCCACCTCAGCCTTCTAATGTGCTTGGATTACAGGTGTGAGCCACAGTGCCCGGACTATACATTTTTTAATTTCAATGTCTAATATGGTGTCCACTGAATTATGAATTCTTTTGAGAAAATGAATCAATAAATCTATATTTGGAGGGGATGTTGCCTCCTTTATCCAGTGAGGTATGGCTGGATCAGCTTCATGACATACACACCAGTAGTCTTCTTCACCTTCTCCTCCTCCTAATTGTAAATGTTGAAGGTGTACAACTTGATGTTCTGTTGTATGTATACACTTAAATGATCACCACAATCAAGCTCATTAACATATCATCACCTCACGTGATAACTTTTCTTTTTCTTTGGGCATAGAAGCAGGCTTGATAGATGCAGTTCTCTTGGCATTTGGGTAGAAGCAGGACAGGAAACTGCTGTTCTCTTCCTGAGAACTTTCTCCAGGGCCGAATAGGAGGCAGCATGGCAACTGAGCATCTGTTTTGCTTTCTCTACCTCCTTATCTTTCCTTTAGGCCTAAAATGAAGCTCTAAGCCAAGTAAAGGTCTGAAGTCATCCAGACTAATGTGGAAGCGGGGAGGCTCCAGGGAGTGGCTCTCAGAGAGCAGACCATTTACTGAGCTCTGCGTGAGAAAGACTCGAAATGGTTCACAGCAATACAGAGTTTTGTTCTCTCCTCTTATCCTGCTTTCTCCTCCCTGCTACTTTTCCCTGACACCTATCTTGTTATGAAGACAGGAATTGTATTAGATAAAATCAAATATTTTTTTCCTTCTTTTTGAGATGGAGTTTTGCTCTGGTGCCCAGGCTGGAGTGCTGTGGCAGGATCTTGGTTCACTGCAACCTCCACTTCCTGGGTTCAAGCAATTCTCCTGCCTCAGCCTCCTGAATAGCTGGGATTACAGGCATGCGCTGCCACGCCCAGCTAATTTTTGTATTTTTAGTAGAGATGGGGTTTCACCATGTTGGCCAGGCGGGTCTTGAACTCCTGCCCTCAGGTGATCTGCCCTCCACCACGCCTGACCTCTTTTTTGTCTTTTTTTTGATGGAGTCTCTCTCTGTTGCCCAGACTAGAGTGTAGTGGTGCAATCTCAGCTCACTGCAACCTCTGCCTCTCTGGTTCAAACAGTTCTCCTGCTTCAGCCTCCCAAGTAGCTGGGATTACAGATGCCCACCACCACGCCCAGTTAATTTTTGTATTTTTAGTAGACATGGGGTTTCACCGTGTTGGCCAGGTTGGTCTTGAACTCCTAGCCTCAGGGGATCCACCCACCTCAGCCTCCCAAAGTGCTGGGATTACAGGCGTGAGCCACCGTGCCTGGCCTCAAATATTTCTTTTTATGTTTCTTCTCCCACTTCTCCTTCTCTCTCATCCTCCACTTTTTTCATTTATTGAACACTAATTAAGAGCCTATTAGGTGACAGGAGGTACTAGATATTGGGGATACAGAAGCTATTAGAGGTTTTGCTTTGAAGACCCTTATACTTTAGAGGGGGATACTCCCCTCTTCCCATTTCCTGAGATCATGCAAGAGAAAAGACTTCAGGTGATCCATATTAATTCCTTCCTTCACTGCTTGATTTGTCACCAAATGGTTATTAAGG